AGAGTGTGGATGAAGCATCTCCATCTGGATGATTGGAAGATTCATTCCTAGCGCTTCTTGGAGTGGCAGCACCCTTAGCGTCGACCTTCTCTGGCTTAAAGCAGACTAACGTATGATGACGTCCCTTACATTTCCGACAAGAGAATTTCGATCGGCAGTCCCTTGCCTGGTGACCTTGTTTGAGGCAATTCCGACACGTACCATGAGCGCGTAACAACGTTTCTTTATCGGATGACGTCATTCGCTGAAAAACCTGGCATTGGAACAGGAGGTGATCTTCTGAACAACTAACGCAGACTGGACTGTGTTGAAGCTTGTCTTCATGATCGGCAACCGTTGCTTCACTGAAGATGATGATGACGCCGGTTTTTGCAATCCCTTGACGTCTGCAGTCCGGGGTGGCAACGACTCAAGAACTCCAAAACGACGCTGGAGAAAATCTGTCAAATCCTTAAGCGTTTCCTGATCCTTGCTTGCCGAGACTTCTTCCCAACCTCGTCTAGTCACAGGATCCAATCGCGAAATGAGAAGATAGACCAACAAGAGATCTTTGTAATGCACAGGTTGAGTGATCTGGTCTAATGTTTGTACAGCACGTTGAAAACCTTCCACAAGTTTGTGGAGATCAGCTACTGACTCTTTAGTCATCGAAAAGTGTTTGCATCTGGCTATCCCGTGACGAGCATATCCCAAGCTACTTGATAGTTGGTTTTGGTGATTTGTATTGGATCTATGAGGCTTTTTGGCTCACCTAGGAGGCATCCCTTCAGATAATGAAATTTTTCAACTTCCGGCAGATCTGTTCGAAAGTGGATTAACGAAGAGGACTGATCGCGAAAACTTAACCACTCATTTATGTCCCCATTGAATGGTTGCAACCTTATCTGTGGTAAGCGAGTATGATCGAGATTGCTAGCAGTCGTCGAATTTGTAGCTCGAAATGATTGCTCAGAAACTTCAGTCACTTGTAGCTCCTTAAGACTGTCCATGAGAAAGGATTTAATTTTGTAGTACCGCATATTGAAATCCTTCCTCTCCTTGTCGAGAGGGTATTTCTCTGCACTACAGCTGGTATGTGATTTCACCTCGCTAACAGTTTCCTCGATTATCTCCCTCAATTCATCAAGTCTCTCTAAACGTATGGACATATCCGATGCAACAGCATCTGCCGGGAAGTCTTCAACGAACTCCCAAATATCATTGAAGGAACTTTGGTACTCCCTCAGTTTCGTAACTAACGTCTTGAGAGAAATCGCCTTTCTCTTGGATGATGATGAGGCAGGCATGGTGCAGAGGGACACAAGGAAAGCGCTATGCAGTATGCAGAAATTGATCCTTGAGCTTCGGTAGGGCATATACTGTCCAGTGTTATTTACCTGGCAGACACTGCAGTACGTTGCCCAAGCCAACAAAGGATCAATGCTAGCTTAGTTTTCCGAAAATCAAGCATCAACGATCTCAACGAATAACTCCAAGTGCACATAGGTTGCGTCAGGAAGGGGAGAACAAATTATGTAGCATCAAGAGAGTCTGGCCAGCCGTGGCCATATACTGTTTATCTCACCTGGAGAAACAAACAGCTGGCCAGAAAATCAGTTGCGCTGCCTCTTCGATAATCGTGCCTCATCAAACGATCGTGGCATGAAGTCAATCCAGTTGGCAATCCAAAAACGATGATCGATCCGTGAACCGTAGATGTCTTCACGCACGTGTGTGTTGCACCTTGGTTGTTGTGGGTGTCGATTCAATTTCACTTGTTGTACTCTATTGAGTTTCCAGAACAGTATCGACAGTAACAGAGGGACTTGGTGAGCAATGGCGCAGTCCAGCACCTGATTGCTGTTCCAGCTTTCCAGCGTTCTGCGATGGCTGAGATGTTGATTATGGTTCGCGGACAATGGTACACAATACTGTGGCGGTTTCTAGCAGCGCTTGGCTTACTTCGCGATGGCCTCGTTCCAAAGTCGTCTACCGGAGTTCAATAATCCGGCTCGAAGGACCAAATGTTGTGCCCTGAACCGACTCTTCTTCGATGACGTAGTGGATTGGTTTGAATAGAGCTCCAACACCAAATTACTGATGCAATGGAACGATCTTGATATCGTTAATAATCCACCATCAACTAAACCTCTCAGCAGCAGGTAGAATTATCTTTCTCGGACTGGTCACAGTATCAAAACGCATCGTTTGTTTTGAAACACATACTCACAATCACTACATTTATTCGACTTATCAAATTAAACTACACGATTATACAAAGGAACACGAATCTTCTGCGGTTACCGCAAACGTATGAAAATGACCGGTGGTCTGTTCGATGACCTGTTCGTGACTATCTTCCCTTTTCGATGCAGAGCAGCGCAACAGATCCAGAGAAGCTGATTTGTTGCGAGAGAAGTGACGTCATGGATACCGATGGTCTGGCAAGCCAAGTCGGCACTCTTATCGGTCGTGAACGTCATCTCTTTGATTCTCTCTAATATTGAATGCTATCTAAACCTAACTACAATACAATACAAATACAAGAAGGAACAAATAAACCTAACCCTAATTCTATTCGATGGATGCTATTCAGTGAATGGTATATAACAATAGTCTAGACGTAAACAAATCTGTCTAGTAGTTGCGCCGGCAGACTATTGAATTCGTCAGCTGTTAACGATGGCAGGGTTGTAGCCAACCGGGAATCTCGGTTCCAAACATCGTCGTTGACACCACCGACGTGATTGAATAGTAATAACAGCGACTCGATACAAGGGGCTCGGTTGCCCAGTGCTGACCGTTTTTGCTTACAGAGCAGAAGGTCATTCAAACGCTCTTTAATATTATAGAGTTATTAGCACACCCTCTCCCATCCTTCAAAAAGTCTACATAGTTTATGATGTTATAAATGTCCCTAACATAAATTCCCTTCCTATGATAGATGTGGAGATGCAGAGATGTTATCGGTTTTTAGTAGCAATTTTTATCATACTAACAATCTTTCTATTCCCCGATTCACCAGAATTTGCACACTGAGAATGGATTGCTGATTCCAAGCCTCTTTAATTTGGTGCTTTGTGCAAATTTCGCTGGATCTGTTCAATCATGGAGTAGTAACTGCGAATTGTACGGTAATCAATTCTCATGTTCAGAAGTCACGATCTCGCTTTATATTTTTGATAAATAATAATAGAAAATGTTTTAATTTCACTACGTGTTATGGGCCAACAGTTCACGCAGTTGATGAGCATTCTACGTTTGCACTTACATTAATCGGTTGAAATTAACTCTGACCGATCATAAATAATCGCGTTCGCACTTAGCTTTATCTGATCGTACATGAAAGAATGTACCTACTTAAGCTATGTTTTTTTCCTTTGTCGGAACCTTATGCCCAACATGCCCTCTCTACCTTAGGCACGATTATGTGTAGTAAACCCATTTCCCTTCGCTTTTGGACCTCTCTGTGTCAGATTGGACACTGTACCGGTAAAGATTTATTGACCTTCAGGCTTGAACGGCAACAAGCAGCAACACCCATTAAAAAATATTTGGTGGTAAACCGGCAAACGAGAGGGCCAGTCTTCAAGTATTGCAATCGTGCCGTTGATTGATTTCGCTGATGATGTTTGAAATATTATTGATGATTCATGAGAGGATCATTACGTGAGGAAATTGAAAGTGATCGATGAGAACGACGCAAAAAAAGCACAACGAAAAACTTGAATTTGGTGTGCTGGTACAGTGGAAGCCATACGATTGTAGCAATTCTGTCAAGACGGATGTTAAATGCTCATTCGTGCCCGAGACATTAATCCTTTCCAAATTGGGCTCCCCTAACTTCGGTAGTGGCTGTCGTCGTTCGTTTGTTGGTGTTAAAGGTGACACGGTCGCTGCAATTAAGCACTTAATTAAATTTTCCACATGGGTGACCGTGGTTATGTCGACAGAAAGATGAGATATGTACATTTATCTTATAAGTTCACTAAAGTAGAGAGAGGCAAGATTAGGAACGCATATGATCATGGTGTCAATCATTATCATTAGCCTTGAAGCTGCGGGTAGATGACATGTGAATAATTAAGAATTATGATTGGATTATGATAAAATTCTGTTTTTAAAGGTTTCGAGAAAATGGTATATTTTTCCTTTTAAAAGATCAGAGAACAGCATTATTATATTTGATTTTTAATTTATATTAAATCTTACATCATCTGACTGTATGTCTTAATAAAATGTTACAAAAAACAATGTTTGCTAGGTTTTTTACTTGTGTCTGGCTAAAAATTATGTACATTTTTTTGTTTCTTCTTTGGTAGCTTTAAAACACTCACATAATTAGGTAAATTTAAGTAAATAAATTCACATTATTTAACGCAACACCCTGCTTCTGGTTTATAACGAGGTCACAGAGAGCATAATCAGCAAAGGCACGGTATTATCAAGCCAGAGGTGGCGGGTTCGAATCCCGGTCTGGTCGAGGAAATCTTTCGGGTTGGAAATTTTCTCAACTTTCCTGGACAAACAGTATCATCGTGGTTGGCATAGAAGCTCTTAATTAATAAATAAGTGCATCTAGATAGATAGTTTTTTAATTCATCAATGTGCAAACAATATGAAGAGATTAAGAGTTTAAGTATAAATAGTATAGATAACAGCAAAGATGTCATGTGTTCATCCCTGAGTTCGCCACCTTTCCCCGTCATTCCCTACTGAGTATTTAAATTGATTAAAATACTAATGGCTCTTTCCTGCTTTCCTACCTTCATAAAATCAAGATTCCTCGAGATATCATTGTCAGCTTCCGCGACAACTGTAAGATAAACTGCCACGGTAAGCAGAAATGCAACGGCAGTTAGTTTGTAGGAAAATCACAGGAAAAGAGAACACAATTCTAATACCCTACCCTTATCACAATTTTTTGCCTTGGCTGCTACCGAGCGCGTAGATTGATTGTATGAATAAGTAATTCGCGTTCTCTAATTTGAATTTCCCATTCTATCTGCTTCTCGTTTCAGGAAAGTCAGAGTGCTGCCAGACGCACCGGCTATGACTGCTCTTCATATGACAAACTAGCCACCCGCCACTGTGCACCACAAGCAGAAACCAGAACAAACAACGTGACAGCAACGAACGTCAAACAACAACATGACCAAAGAAGAATTAGCACTTTTAGTCACAGCCCGAATCCCCGCGTCCCCACTTGCCTCCACTAGTTCTGCTACAATTACATTAAGCCATAAAAGGATCAATCCAGATCTAGAACGGCGAACCGCGCACGAAAAGACTCGAAGGGTAGGCAGCGGGGCACGATCTCGCAAAGCATCAACGAAGGTGGTCACCGACATGACGAACCGGACACGGACGACCGCCCGATGGACATCGACGACAACGAAGACGGTGGGGAGCAATCTGCTGCTACCGCGATTGCTATTGCTAGCCATTATGATGATGGTGACCCACAAAGTACACGCGGTAGAAGGCAAGCTGCAACTGTGTGAAGTGGAAACCGGACAGACGAATATCATCCTAGATATCGAAGAGAGCCGTGGCAACTGTGAGTAGCTCGAGAAGATAAGGTTTATCCACGATCTGGCATATATGATTTTACATAACAGGTTTGCTAATTGGTTGTAGTGGTGAGAGTAGCCACAACATTTGTTATTTATGGGTATCGAACTGATTTGTTCCCTTTTCTTCCACAATCAAGTTCGAAGACTGAAGCCATTCCATAATCCACCCACTAAATGTTCATTTTTAATCGAAAAGCTATGCAATTATTTTCAAACTGCATACGCAAAAAATGAGGCGTTTAAATCGTGACTCTGTTGAAACAATGTACACATTTATAATGTTAAATGCTCAGATGCAGTGCTGTTGAGAGAGTGAGTACACCGTGTGCATTACACAGCTTTGACGAAAAAAGGAAAAATGGTAAACGTTTCCAATGTCAGCCTGAATATTTTTAATATGGGCTCCATAGCTTTGATGGTAAAGCACTGGTCATAAAACAGACCATGATGGATGAAGCGAGAACGATGCTTGAACTAGTCGATGATCTTTTCGTTATGGATTTTTTTACATTCTTGGAAACCACACAATTAAAAGTGTCTTTGAAAGACAATCTAACTGATCAACAGAATCGCTGAAATATCCACCAAACGGAAGCTTAGGTTCACCTCTTTCATATTAGCGAGGACAACATATCAAAAAGACTGGTAACTCTCTCAGTTTCTCATACGACCGATATGAGGCAGGCACAATCGCGTCATCTGCCGCTCAAAGGTAAATGCTCCGAACGAATTGGATAGCAAAGGTTTCATCCTCAGAAGAATGGTTTGCGAATTTGCTAATTTTTCTATGCGTTGCTTCCACTTTCGCTCGAGCGCAGCGCTACTGTCGAAATGTACTTAGGCTACTATCGAAATGTTCTATCGGGGTCTTGAGAAATTTTGAAATATGTTTAGTGTAAATCACGTCCAAAAAATGTTTAAGCCCATACAATTTATGAATAAATGACCCCTGATAGAATATTTTCAAACTAGCCACAAATGAAAAAGAAGCATCTAAGATGTCGTTTAGTGAGACATCGTGGGCTACTGGACACTAACGTACGCAAGCATGCATTTTTGACGGGGCAGGGATGGAAAAGTTGCTCTAGATTACTCTTAAGTTTGTAAAAATTATTTCTACATAAAATTGCCTTTACTACCGTTCACTGTTGATTTTTTCTTGATGTACGCCCACAAAGTTGATACGAATTTCATAATTCATCATCGCGAAACACACTGTGCCAAAAAAATAGCTTTATTTTGCACAGGCGTTGAAAACCTCAAAACGAACTTTTGCCCCATCTTACTCTAACTACAAAAAAGACAAGTCTGAGGCATACAAATGGTTATAGTCCTTTGACATAGAGTTATCCGTATGTTAAACATGTCAATGGCCTCGTCGTAGATTTATCTTCAATGTTAACGTTCCTGCGAATGTAATGAAATGAACAGCTAATCACAATGGTTCTAGACCTTGGAGTAGGCAATAGTCCTCGAAGAGTGGATGATACACTGGTTCATTGCAGATGAATAGCATATCGAACGAATGCCCACTTATGCAATTCGAATTGATATCATAAAAATACCGCGACCTCTTGATAAATTTTGCCGAATACACCACCCTTCTAAATGAAAAGAGCAGTACCAAAAATATGCATGTTCACTAGCGCCACCAGTAGGAGTATTACAAATTAATCTGTCCAGGACTGGTTGACCTCCTGATCAACTTTGCTGAAGGCATAACCCTTAATAATCAGGATCACTAGCACCGTCAAGCGGGAGAAATCCAATCTAATCTGTCCACGGTTCACTCGGCTGTCGACAAAAGCAGGCCACTCTCGATGTGTGCTACGCGATCGTCTGTTTTCTCGGCAGCAACCATTGTGTGGTCCTCCTCATTGTTCTTCATCAGCAGTTTTTTCGGTCGGTGCGTCGTCGACTTTGGAAAGCAACCGTTTCGTGATGAGTGTGTGAGTGCTGACCACGTTTTGCGTCCATTGCTGCAATGTACGCGCTCTGACCCTCGTTGGCGTACAACAATTTGCCATACAATGAAACTACTGGAAGCGGCTCCCGTTCTGATGGAGGAGGCTTTTTGGATAGCGGAAGATAAAGTGTTTATTGTGTTGTACCTTTTGACTATAGTTTTAAGATGTATTGTATAGTGACCAAGAATCCTCGGCTCTGTAAAGTTAATTCGGTTGAGCCTTATCAAATAAATTAATAAACATAATCTGTCCACCACCAAGCAGCCCTTGTCTTCTTGATCAACTTTGCCGAAGACTTACCCTTCTAAATAATCAGAATCCCGATATGCATAATAGGCAGTTCCGAATATTTGCAAGCCCACTAACGCCACCTAAAGAGATAATTCCAAACTAATCAAGCCTTGTCTTCCTGATCAATTTTGCTGTAGTAATCACTATTCTAAATAATAAGGATAAGGAGATGCAGAAAAGACAATACATAATATTTCCAAGCTCACAAGCGCCGCCCAGCGAGAACTTCTAACTGATCTGTTTACTATCCAGTAGTCCTATACCGAAGACATCACCCTTCTAAATAATAAGGATCTTGAAATACAGCAGCTCATGGTGTGTAGTGCATATGCACTAGACTGATGCAACATTTGAGATTGTCGCACACGATGCTCAAACGGTTCCAAATTGGGCCTGATTAGCCTTCCCAGATTGAACTAATTTCTTTAGAAACTGACTTGGGACAAACCCTATGAAGTTTCTTTGGAAATTATTATGGGAAAACCAAATGTTTTGATCATATCGATTTAAGAATTCACCATTTCCCTCTGCTTTTAAGAAAGGTGTCCTTTTGATCGTTTGGGACGGCTACGGTTAGTTCTTTCTGTATTTGAATTTGTGGTCCTGAAAAGGGCCGTTTGTTTGTTGGTTGTTGGCCCTGAAAAGAGACTTTTGTTTTTCAGATGGTGCACCTTTTATTTTGGCGCTGTTTGTTGATATTGCTTGAGTGGATAGAGAACTAACACGAAATGCATAAACCAATTGACGTCTGCGGGAAGGTTTAGAGCTGGATGATTTACGCAAGTTTATTCTTTCACGGAGACTCAATGACCCAAAGCTGATAGTGATTTTCCTAACACTGCTATTGGCACTGATTGGTGATTCTTTGCTGTTATTTCTCTCCATGGTTCAAAAATATTTCAATTTTGTGAACCTGTCTTGCCCACCATCTAGAGATCTTAAAAGAAATTCTATAGCGTAGAAATACAGTGACCCTGAAAAAGGTCATTTAGGATCCAAGAGATTTACTTGCTGGTACAACGTGCTTATACCAGCGGTTGAAATTTTGCAGATGACCCATTTTGTAGAAGCTACTCAAAGAGCCGCCGATGTCCGCGTCCTTCAGGGTTCTACCAAATTTCTGGTGACCATCTCCGTCGCAATTCAAACTGCCATTTTGGATTGAAGCGAATAAACTGGTGTACTTGGGTATCTCCAGAGACAGCATGCTCAGTTGGCTTTCCTGGCAGCAGCATTACGCAGATGATCATTGTAGTCAAACTCAGCTGTGTAACGTTCGAAGGATGTCGTTGCCGTTGGTAATGTTTCTCATTCCGATGTCCGCGTCCACTTTCTGGGTCTTTCAAATTAGTTGTGACAACTGTCCTTCACTGAATTACAGTCTGTTTTATACCTGCAGAATAGCTAATTTGGCCCCTCCCTATTGGAGTATTTTTTGTCAGAGCGTTCCTAGTTGCAAATATATGGCATCATTCACACCAGACCAAGACTTGCTCCGACCAGCATTGAATTAGATCGATGTGAAAGAACAACTAGTGCTACTTGACTCTGACCAGTGCAAGTAGATGGCGACCGGATGACGGCGGCCCAGTCATGCTGCCTATTGCGGGAAGCCTTTCCTCCAATCGAAGTGGGTGCATTCGTCATCGTCTTTTTATTTTTGCGATGCATGCTGTTCCACTCATTCGTCGTGTCCGACTTTGATGCATTTTTAAAAAACTCAAAAGCAGTTTGTTTCGACGCATTATTTTAGATTGCAAACAACTCGCGTCATTTTGTGTAAAATATCAAAAGGAATTGAATAGTGCGAGCTTTTTGCAATCTGAAATAATGCGTCGGAAAAAACTGCTTTTGAAATTTTCCAAAAAAGCATCAAAGTAAATTGAATCTTAAGAAGAAAACGAGTTGGCAAGCGTTTTTTTTTCATTCATTGGTGAAGTGGTGAGCGGTCAACCGAGCAGGGAGCTCGCTCATGTGAGTATGCGCATTGTGTAATGTGTGTTCGATTTACGCTCTATCGTTACGTCCGTGCTTGGGATTTTTCGTTACATGTCTGAATTTTCAATTTTGTAATGTGACCCCCTGTATAGAAATTAAAAACGTAGTACTACGTCAAAAATTCCATCCTTTAATCTGACTCACAGTTTACATATAATTTATAATTGTTCTGCCTTTTCCACTTTTTAAGTATTAAAAAAACTGTTTCAAAATTATACTCATACTTACATGCTATAAAGCTCAAACAAATCTGAAGAAAATAAAATATTTATGGTTAAAATTGGTTGGAAATTGTAGAAGTTATCAGCGATGAAGTGAAAATAAAGAAATTCTAGTTAAGTATGTGTCAATCCTTAATTAGAAGCAATATGTGTCCTTGGAATCCTGGACAAGGAATTCGGGAATAAGATGCTCTATGTATACTAATTATGAAGGGAATTATGGAATTCTATCTCTGGATTCAGACGAATCCCTGTTCGGGATTCAGGCGAATCTCTGTTTGGAATACAGGGGAATTCCAGGCCTTGATTCAGGGGTTACATTGTTGAAAAATGGTTATCACTCTCATTGAGGGGAAGTTTACCGCCCCGACAATATAATTTATATTTCTGCACGTTTTTATTTTTCTAAAAATATTGAGAAAAGTTATAAAAAATCCAAGAAAATCAGCTTTTTTCTCAGTTAAGATTCCTCAGAAAATTTACATGTAAATTTTTTTTTATCTCATT